TACTCCAAAGTAGAATTGGTCCTACTGTCTTCTGACCACTTTTGTCAATCGCATGGACATATATTTTCCCAACTGTCTTCCCTTGATCAATTTTAGATTTAATTACCTGTGCTGGTCAATTGTCATAATTTTTTTAACAGGTGCCGTTTCCAATTTAATCAACGTAGTGTCAGGAAAGTCTAAAAAGGACAAACACGCAAGTTGTAAAGAATCCCGGCCATTGTTACCAAGGACGTCTCATGGTCTGCCTCGGAAAGATCTTACATCTGATAGTTTAGCTGGTCAACAAGGGCCGTCACCAATGACAACATCTAGTGGTACTACTTATACTCCAAAATCATCCTCTAGTACTGGCCAAATGTGGAAATACTCTCAAAATATAGAGTACGAAATACGTCAGCACCATACGGAGAAGGGCAGCATTCATTCCTTATCAGATATAGACCACAAACTTGAAAACCTATACGAGTACGTAGCATTTATTTGTGTCAGAAAACAAGTTCATATTGTATATGGTTCTTTTAGATTTTAAACGGTGTTAGCTTGTTAGAGATGCCGGTAGCTATATAAACTGGAACTCTGCTTGATATGGCTCACTGATGGTTGCAAAAAGATAAAATGTTATGGTCTTTTGTGGTCTTTCCTATACCTGATCTAATTGGGTAAATGAGGACGGGCCTCGCCATGTCATATGTAATAAGAAAAATATTTACAAAATGAACGATTAGCCTACTTAACGTGGAGAGATCTTTAACGTGGTATGAAATGAATAAATCATGGATGGGCACAATATATTTTACGTATCGTATTGTTTCTATTTGTATCTTTTCAGGCGAATGCATAATTTTGAAAACGATCTCTTTACAACAGTCGACGCCATTTTGGGTATTCTAGGCCAAAAACCTAAAGTAACATTAGAATCTTTAGACATTCCACTCTCGCCAACATTCAGGGGAGATAAATCTGTTCGGCCAAAAGGCGTGAGATTGGTAAAATCACCAAGTGATTTGGACAAGACGCTGAAAAATGTTTAATTTATAGCCTGAATTTGGTAACAGCCAATAGAAAGGTAGTGATCTTTATGAGTCGAATAGTGTCGGGTTGCCAAATCAAAGTTCAGTTCTGTGATAAAAACAAACTAGTGTATTCATATGCTAATAAATCGGTGTGTAAAATATTCAATAACGAGAGAGATTGAAATTACAACGATACCATCATATCATATTTTCATTAGTCCATTCATTATTTTGTTGTGATTAATACCATTCGATTCTTGTTTGAATTACGTGATTTAATCACGCGACATAATTAAGCCTGGGTCCAGGATATAGCCGATTACCGGAAGTGTCACGATATTTTAGGCTTTAATCCTGATTTTTGATTAGCCAAAACAGATTATATGGAAAGCTTACAGGTATCTCAAATGTAATTAGATACTTCCTGATATGACACAGGTGATGTCAAGGTGGGTAATTAGGATTCATTGACAGGAAAACTGCCGGTACTCGAATCATTAGATAGTGAATTTATTTCAACGGCGTGTGACTTTTTACAGCTGAAGATATAATTGCCTGGAAATCTAACTACAACATGAGCTGATGAAGCTATTATTTAGACGTCTACGGGCCTCTTATATTTCGTGCAAATGACGAGGTTGTATATGACGACGTTGTTTTCCTCATAAATCCTCATAAGTATGTGTTGAATGTTGAATAGGACATAGGATATCAATCATTCAATATTCCTTCGTTATACTGTACAATGTGAAGATCCCAGGTCAAAAAGTTCTATAGCACCAATAGATCCGGTCGATTTTTCTGATGCTGCGACAGATGCATAAACAATCAGCGGCGCGGTTGTTACCTTTATGAAATTGCAAAAAAGATTAATGGAATTTTGCTACCTATGTTTGAGGGATGAGTTTTGAAACTCGTCATCATTACCTGTTTCAACTCTTAACAATCCATTTAAATCAATAATTAAATTTACGTGTTTTGGAAGTAGCCTCTGTTTACTGATAGTCCGTTTTATCATTGACCATATAAAAAACTTCCCTATTCAATATTATGTATCCGGATATCGGATATTAAGTAAGTAAGATATGCCTTGTTTTTTGTTACGATAGGTGGTTTTGTTATTGCTTTATATAGAGTTTTGATAAAAAGCTATTTGTTATTTGTACTTAGAAAGATTATATTCTAGATATTTTATAGTACTGGTAATATGTTTGCAATAAATATAGCATTAAAACTGAATGTACTTTCTTAAATCTTAGTCAACCACTGTTGTTGTTCTCAATCAGGCCATCGAGACCTGCTAAGAGACTTCGATATCAGAGAGTAATTGACTTGTACTATTGGTGACGATTCGTCACTGACGTCGACATCAGAGAGTGG